GTCCATGTGAGCCTCGTAATTCTGTGCCCTGCACTCTAGGATGCCTGGGAAGAGATCCTGCCCTCCTCTGTGTCACAGCCTTGGAAATCTGCCACAGGTCTCTCTGGCTTTCCTGTGAACAAACAGGATGGGCAAAGCCCACTGAATAAAACCCAAAGAGATGCTGCCAGCCTGTGTGCACAATACAGGGGTGGAGAGGCAGCTGGTGGCTCACTTGAAGGCAGCTTCCTATGTTCCCAACAGGGGCTACACGAGAAACACACTGCCCTTCGCTCACTGCAACATGGTGTCTTTCTCAGGGTCCCTGCCCAAGACAAGTTGTGCAGACAGAAGAACTGAGTACCATGTTCAGCAGGGAGATCTGAGACACAAAGGGAATACCTGCCAGGGCTGCAGGCTCCAAGCGCCTAGCCTGTCTCCACCCTCCTGCCTCCTCCTTTTGGATCTGGATGCAGCAGCAGCATCCAGGGCCCAGGCCACAGCCAGGATGCTTTTGTAAATGACGTGGCTGTCCTGAGACAGGATCCTCTCTGCCTCGTCTTGCGAAATGGCTCCCCAATTCTCCTTCTCCTTGCATCTTGTCCGGCCTTTTACTGTTAAGGCGTGCTTTGAAGAAGAGCACTGAAATGCCTTCTCCAGAAACCGCTCAATAAACAAGTCAAAACTGAAAAAGAAGCAATCAATGGCTTTCCCCTCGTTTTTCTGTATAAGGAAGGAAAAAATGCCATGGATGTTCTGTGAAGACAAATGAGACAACAGTTCAAAGGAGAAGTCCCACACTGTGGTGGTGATCCACACTTTCCCTGTCTTGGGTTCTTTAAGGTCAACAATATATTCTTTTATCATTTACATGCCCTCCATGAAGGTACTTGTCTCTGCACAATAAACAAAAATGTTGGCTTCTCCTGATATGTGAAACTAAGCACGGTGGCGCTTCTGGTTGGTTGTATACAGGCCTGAGATGTTCTGTGTGAAAACAACACACACTCCACTACGGGTGAACTCCACGGTCAAGGCCCTCATGCACCTCCCTCCGCTGTCGATTTCTTCAGAAGCAAGACCCACCAGTGTCCACTGGAAATGCAAGAGCAGCCTGGTGATCCCGTCGTACTGGGTCAGCTCTTTGGGCACCATTAGGAGGAAAAAGGGAACTGGGTCTCATCACTCAGCGTGTGAAGTAAACGCATGGCTGAGCTGGTGGGGATATAAGACAGCAAAGCTGCATTGTGCTTCCGATCAGAGCTGAACTCTTGCTCATACTATTTTTATACCATCCAGATTAGGAGCTATTTCTGCAACTTGTGGTGTGAGTTCCACAGTTTAACCATGTGCTGTGTGCCCAAGTCCTTTGCTTTGGAAATCCACTTCTGCTACATACTGATCACAAAATCCTCCCTCTGCATCCCTCCTGTTTTCCCATGGGAATGCAACAAAGCTGTAGCCTGAAGGTCATTTGCACAGAAATGAGTCCTGCAGAGCTACCTACACCTTGGCAGAAGGTGAGGGCTTCCAAGAGAGAAGGTGGCCTTTTTAGCCTCTCACAAATGGCTGCAGCTCCCTCACACCTGTGTCTTGGAACTCACTGCAGAGGCTTCTTCCCCACTTCCTCAGCTTCCCAAGACACAATCAAGTGGCTGGGACTCGGGCTGCAGATGTCTGTCCCTCTCCATCCTCACCTGAGGGGTTTTATATAGCCCCATCATGCCTGATATCTGGATGGAGATGTCCGAATCAGCCCCTTACAGGACAGCCATGAGGGGAATCTGTCTCCCACAGCTGTAGTTGGGCACTCTGACCTGCCCCAGGGAAAGCAGGTCCAGCAGGGCATTTGAAGTCAACCTTGCATCAAAAAAGTTGTTGTGAATGCTGTAGCCCAGGGAGAGGTTCCGTAGTAGCCTGGGGTTCTGGTTGACCTCTTGAACAGCAAACAGGTAGGACAAGATATTCCAAAAGTTTGTGAGTCCATCCCTGCAAACAAACACCATGCAAAGAAAGTATTCAGAGCTGAGGCTGTTCAGTTGAGGAAGGAATATAACACTGCAACTGAATGGGTACTTCAAGGAAGCCCATCCAAAAGAGAGCCAGGAGAGTGGATGCCCAGCTGCACAGGTGGAGCCAACCAGCAGGACCATCATGCCATTGCACCTCCTGCCCATATTCCTGCCAACTGACAGCAGCACACACACTGCACCTGGCCCAGGAGGCTCCTTCTGAGGAAGGAGCCATGCCAGCCAGAAACTTCCTGCATTGTTCTCAGGCCTTATGAGGAAAGCAGCAATGGATTCTCCCATTGGACATTACTTCCCAAATGGACTCACACCCGGTGATCAATGATCATGGATCATGTGCAGCATCATTGTTAATACTTGCACCTGTGGTGGACTCCAGGTGTCTGTCTACACATCCACCAATATCCCCATGCATTCAGGGAAAAGTGGATAGTTCTGGGGAAATGAAAAGGGCAGAAAGTTAAGAAAAAGTTGATCATGTCACCACTTCATGGTTTACCAGAAAGGACACTTGCTGTAGAAAGGTTCCACCTCTTGAAAGATCAGAAGTCCTGCAGAGATGACCCCACCAACAAGGAGGTCTCCTGCCTTGTGATAGCTGGATGAATTTCTCATAATCCTGCCCAAGGTCAGGGGGCACCTGGCTGCCATCTTCCCACAGGTTTCCTGGGGATGCAGCAGGAGCAGCACCAGTGGCTTCAACTGCCGGGCCAGCTCAGCTGCCTGGCTTGGCACCCGTTCTCCCCTCTGCAAGGCAGAAGCTCCTTTGGTCATGCCTGAGCCCCTATCAAGGCTGCAGCTCTCTGGCTGCCCCAGCAGAGAAGGAACCCAGGCAGGTTGAGCATCTCTTCAAAGGGGAATGAGTGAAGGAAGCTCTGCAGCACATCAGCCAAATTGCAACCCACAGCAGGACCTTTGCATCATCACCCATTAGGCTCGCATGCACAGACACATCCAGCCCGGCTGCTCCAGAATCCCTTTTTTGTGCGAAAGCCCCAGGGGACACCACTTGACACCTGGAAACTGGAGGAAGAGGAAAGCACTAGAGTTGTGGTAATAGTGGGAAATGAGCCTCTCCTCGGAAACACCCCGAGAGTCTTGGCTGCTTCATGCACTGTCAGAGAAATGTGCTGGTCTGAATTCCTTCGAGGGGCCCCCATCTCTGGGGAGAATTGATGAGCTTTTTGTGGGAAGCTGCATTCACAAGACATGATTCAGGGAACCCTTCAGGAGATATACCTTCACAGGATTGAGGGGTCAGAACTGCTGAGGGTTTAGGGGACCGGTGCTATGGGGAAGGTCCCTGAACGCACAACATAGTGCACCTTCCAAATGCCTTGGCCTGCAAGTCCATAGTGCCCAGCCCATATGACAGCTGGCCCATCCAATAAACCTGCAGAGCACCAGAACAGCTCAGCTGGCCCCTGCCCAGAGATCTTTCCACTGGAGCCTTTGTGGGCTGCATTGGATGGGGTTTCTTTCCCCTAAATCAGAGTGCGAAACTCTGGGGGGGATGGGGTTGGTGGTAATCCACTGTAATTTTTTTTTTTCATTTTCATCACAGCATGCATTGCCATGGAGCGCTTTCCTGCCTGATTTTCTGCTCGGTCCCTCTAGATGTCACTATGGAGTGGTACAATAGTGAAAACTCACCAGTGGACAATGTAGGGGTTTTTCTTGCAGAATTAAATCCCACATTTCCCCTGCTATTATGAAGGAACTGCTCTCCAAAAGGCCACATTTGTGCTGAAAGAGTATTTCATGGGCTGGGAAAGGGACGGATGTGTTGAGGTGTCCATGGGTTCTAAGCTTCTCCGGGCTTGGCCTGCTCTCCTTGTGATAGGCAAAGTTTGAACAGGTGAAAGTGTCCCTGGCTGCTACTTCCCCCAGAGAATGAGGCTTTGCTTGGAAACAGTCTCCTCACATGGAGGAAGAGCTAGGCCCAGGAACAGCTGCTGGGAAGGGTGGCTTGCCTGGACAGGGAGCCCTTCACTGCCTGCATGGTGCAAGGTGCTGTACAGAACCCCAAGATCAAGCATCCCCAACCCCCAAGTGGACTACATGGCTGGAGGCAGAGGGGATCCTTTTTTCTCCCTGCTCCACTTTGTCCAAAATCCCATGAGGGTCTTTGGTGGTGTTGCCTCCAGCCCCAAGAGTCCCTTCACTGCTTCAAGTGTCAAGCTCAAAGAAATTTGGGCAATGAGGACAGAGCCTCAGATGGACCTTGGGCAAGATTCAGCATGGCTGTCGTCAGGTTCTTAGGGGCAGAATCTGATACTCCATTGGCAGGGGGCAGGGGCAGATGGATGCCAGAGAGAAGCAATGAGGGAGGAAGGCAAGAATGAGGACTTCTTTTGCTCTGATGTATGTTGGGGGCCAAATTTTGCCAAAGGTACCCTGCAAGAGATTCCTACTGGTGTTGCTGATCGTCTCCTTCAACAGAAACTTGAGGAAGGCACTAGAGGGACAGTCATCCATGACTGGATAGTCCCTGAGTGGATAAAGGGGCCATTACACACGTTTGGGGGAAGCTCCAATGTCATACTTGAATTCCTGATTGTAATGAATGCAAAAGTGGAGTGCAGTCTTGGTTTCAGGAAAGTCAGTTTTAATGAGCTCAGAAAATGCTAAGTTAAATCTCATTGCAGGCAAATATTTGAGAAAAATGGTGGGAATTTTTAAAAATAGAACCTCTAAGGCACAATTAAGAACCAGTCCACACAGAAGTGGAAGGAAGGCCAGGCAACAAAGCAGACTACAGTGAGGACCTGGAATTGCAGGGGTGGAGTCAGGTAGGCTAAGCTGCACGTGAGCAGAGATTGTTGAGGGATCCAACTGTCATGTTTGGTCAGATAATTTCTGAGTAATGGGAGCCCTGTGAAGGACATGCACTCAGAATGCCTGCACTGTGACAGCCCTTGATGGAGTCCTAGCTGAGAAAGAGAAATTGAAAAAGGTCTGCGAAGTGAATTCAAAAGAATTGCTGCTGCATCAGAAGCCCTGCTTTGCTTTTGTTGTTAGATGTTCCTTGGTATTCAGATCAGGCCGTAGTAGGATAATGTAGCACTTGGGAAGGAAGATGCAGCCTAGAAGCCCAGCACTGGAGGCCAAGATGGAGAAGACCTGCACGGCCACCATGTACTTGCCCTTGGTGCTCAGGTAGGTGGGCACGAAGGACACCCAGACACTGCAGAAGACCAGCATGCTGAAGGTGATGAGCTTGGCCTCGTTGAAGGCCCCAGGAAGCTTTCTGGCCAGGAAGGCCACCGTGAAGCAGACGGTAGCCAGGAAGCCCATGTAACCAAGGGCAGCGTAGAACATGGCCACGGAGCCTTCGTTGCACTGCAGGATGATCTGCCTTGCCTGGGAGTGCATGTCTGTGTCAGGAAATGGTGGAGAGGTTGCCAGCCAGAAGGTGCAGAGGAGAACCGGGACACTGGAACAGCAGATGACAATGGAGCTGGCCAAACCCCTCCCAAGCCATCCTCTGACCCTGTTTCCTGGCTTGGTGGCCAGGAAGGCCAGCACCACAGTGATAGTCTTGGCCAAGAGAGAAGAGACAGCCACTGAGAAGATGATGCTGAAGGCCGTTTGTCGGAGGAGGCAGGTGGTGCTTCTTGGCTGGCCAATGAAGAGGAAACAGGACAAGAAGGAGAGCAGGAGGGAAACAAGCAGTGCATAGGAGAGGTCCCGGTTGTTGGCTTTGACGACTGGGGTTTCAAGGAATTTAATGAAGATTCCCAGCACGACTCCTGTGGTTAAGGATAAGAGCAGGGAAAAACAAGCCAGGGTGATCCCCAGAGGTTCTTTGTTGGTGAGGTAGGTGACGTCCTTGGGGATGCATCCAGTTTGGTCCTTGTTTGGGTGCTGATCTTCTGGGCATCTGCTGCACTGCTCTGCATCTGCAAGGAATGGAAGTGACCATTCTCTGCCTGGCCCATGAGCTCTGCTTTGAGTAGGGAGGGCTCTCTGTTTGTGGGGCAGCAACTTGTTTTTGACCATGCTCATCTGTTGGTGTGGACAGAGCAGCTGACCAATCCCTGGGAAACACGGCATGACTGGTTTAGCTTGTGCCACTCCAAAAGCACCCTCTGGGAACCTAGCCTACTGTCATTCCCCAGACCCTCGAGGGCAGCTAAGCAGTTCTTTCTGCACTGGCTGCTGGGACATGGGAGGAGGGAAGCCAAGCAGTCAGAGCTTCTGGCCTCCAGGCAGCATCCATGGCCCCAAGATCAGGTTTTCCAGGTGGGGTGCTGATCGGTCTGCCACTGCTTAGAGAACTTGGGCTGCTGGCCAGGACGGAAGTGGATGGAGGGAACCTTCACCTCATGGAGCACCTTTGGGAGATGCAGTTGGATGGGAATATCAGCCACAGAAATTTGTAGCCTTCAGTGCTGGAGTGTGCCAGGAGTTTTCCTTTTCGCTGTTTTATGATACTGTGAACAACATGAAGCCCTGGCTACATGGCAGCCCAGCAAGGTAGCAGGTGGAATACACCATTCTGAAGTAGCCTGGTCTCCTCAGATATGTTGGCAATAAAAAACCATTTCTGGTCAAGGTGTGGGAGCGGGTGGTGATGGCTCAACTCCAAGTACTCCTGGATGAAATTGGTGAACTGGACCCATTTCTGTCCGGTTTCAGACCCGGTTAAGGTACCAAATTGTCTTTCGTCACCCTGTACAGTGAGCTGTGCAGGGTGAGGGAGAGGGGGAGTGCGTCCCTGCTAGTTCTCCTGGACCTCTCAGCAGCTTTTGATACCGTCAACCATGGTAACCTCCTGGATAGGCTGGCAGGACTGGCAGTAGGAGGCACTGCTTGGCAGTTATTCCGCTCCTACTTGCTGGCCAATTGCAGAAGGTGATGCTGGTGGACTTTTGCTCTGCACCATGGCAACTTTGCCATGGCGTACCGCAGAGCTCCATTTTGTCCCCCTTTCTGTTCAACATCTACATGAAACCACTGGGGAGGCCATTGGGAGGTTTGGGCTGTGGAGTCATCATTATGCTGATGACACCCAGCTCTACCTCTTTCTTTCAACTAATCCACGTGAGGCAGTGGCTGTCCTGAACCAGTGCCTGGCCAAGGTGAAGGGCTGGATGAGGGAGAGTTAACTGAAGCTCAATCCAGATAAGATGTAGGTCCTGTTGGTAGGTGATTCTCGTTTCTGGCTAAGTGACTTGGGCCCTGCCCTGGATGAGGTTGCACTCCCTCTAAAGGACTGGGTCTGCATATAAGGAGTGCTCCTCAACCCAGAGCTGTTCCTGGTAGCCCAAGTGACGACGGTGGCAAGGAGAGCATTCCTTCAGCTTTGGTTGATCCATCAGCTGTGTCCTTACCTGGAGGAGAACTGCCTGGCAACAGTGACACATGCACTGGTTACCTCCCGCTTGGATTACTGTAATGCGCTCTATATGGGGCTGCCCGTGAAGAAAGTCCGGATACTTCAGATGATGCAAAATAGAGCAGCCAGGATGCTGTTGGGGACTTATTATTCTCACATAACCCCAGCCCTCGATCAGCTCCATTGGCTTCCCATCAATGTCCGGGTTCAATTCAAGGTTCTGGTTATTACCTAAGAAGCCCTAAACAGTTTGGGACCAGGATACCTAAAGGAACGCCTTTTTTGCTATATACCATCCTGCCCCGTAAGATCAGCAACAGGGGCCCTCCTCTGGGAACCCTCTTTGAAAGAGGTCAGGAAACAGAGTACTCAGAGGAGGGCTTTCACTGCGGTGGCACCCTGACTATGGAATGTGCTAGCTAGAGAGATCTGTCTGGCACCATCAGTATATGTTTTTCGGCAGCAGATCAAGAACTTTTTATTTGATGAATATTTTAACATTTAGCAATTTTAATTGTATTTGACTTAATTTATTTTAAATAGGTAAATGTTATGCTCAGTTGTGGAATTGTGAATTTAATTTATTCAGGATTTAGAATAATCTGTAAGCCATCCAGAGTTGACAGTGATGGACAGCCTATACATTTCTTAAATAAATTCATAAATAACTAAAAGTGGAGGGGCTCCTTTAGAGAATGGCTCTGCTTTTGGCCTTTCCTTCAGAGTGAATCTCTCTCCCTTGCAGTGAACCATATGTCTTGCCTAGAGATTCCCAGATAAACCATTCCCATCGATATTGGGAACCTGACCAGCCTATCCTGCTGCTTAGAAGGACCTGTCCCTGCACATATTTCAGTAATGTAAAATCTACAATTCCTGGAAGGCAGAGCATTCTGTGCTCACTGCTGCCATGACCAGTGCAGTCAGAATTCAGGAAGGGATCCCTGTGTGGAGATGCTTTCCAGAAAACCCTCAGAGAACAATATGGTTGCAGCTGCTCCCTGCCTTCTGGGGCTCCCTTCTCACCTTCCCAGGCAGTGAAGGTCCCTTCTGGGCAGGGGGTGCAGGCATAGCAGCAGACGGGCTCTCCTTCCTGAACCTTCTTGACAGATCCTGGCCAACAGCTCCCCACACACCTGGAGTGGGGCAGGGGCTTAGCAGAAAGAAAACCAACTTTGAGAGCATCTCTTTGGGCCAAGTTAGGTATGGGAATTACAAAGCTGGAATTGTCACCCCTGGATGTCCTTCTGCAGATTTCACAAGGCCTTTTCACCCAGGGCATACCCCACCCAAGGTCTGAGAGCAAGTCCACAAGGATTGAGAGTGGGATGGGGATGGGGGTCCTTTATGAGTGATCATGAGAAAGGAAGTCTTGGTCCTTTCGGAACCTCAGCACCTTCCCTGGGCCTCCCCACCATCTCAATCCTTAAACACTGCTCAGCTGCCCCTGCAGGAATGGTGGCTACAAGCTACCCAGCCCTGCTCTGAGGGTGTTCTGATGGGAAGACTAAGAAAGGACACAGTCTGTTCTGATGCATAGGAGATGCTGAGGAGAAAGAGGAAGTCCCCCCACCTTGTTGATCTGTTTGGGCCACTTAGCAGCATCCTCATCGATGGTGACTGTGAGGTCTCCCAATCCCCGTCTTTCAAAGCTCCCGATTTTTCTTCTGTGCAGGGACATATTTGGAAATACCACCCAGTGCACAATGTCCAAGTCAGCAACCAGCTCCCCGTTCCTGTCCCAATACGCCCCATCGAGGAGGGAGGCATTATAAAACTGAGGGTCCTTCAGGAAAGGGTGAAGCTAGAAAAGAAGAAGCGCCTCATGTTAATGCTCTGCAAACCACGTTCAGCCATCGGTGCACCCTCTTCTCTCCCCAACTCCCAGCTCTGGGAGATTCCCAGTGTTACTGGGATCTTTAACTTCACCGGGTTACTAATTGGAGTAAAATGGAAAAACAATCCCAGTACATTAACCTGGTCCTTTCTGGCTAGCCCAATGCTCAAAGATCTGATGTGAAAGGAGAACTCTCCTGGAGGTGGCCATGAACCAGTGCAAACTCCTCACTGCACCTTTCTCACTGGTGTTGGGGTGACAGAAATTCAACCAAAGGGACACTCCCTGCATACTAAGTCTCCCAAAGATGGAAGGAGAACCTCGGGGGAGAGACCTGAGAGGAGTCTAGGGGAGGGGGAATGGATGAGCAGGCACAGCAGGTAGAGGGCTCCCTCCATTGGGAGAACCTAAGATATGTCCCGCTGGCGGAAATTTTGAGACACAGGACTGAGCCAACAACCAGTGGAAGGGGCAAGCAGGGGACCAGGACAGGGAGATTTGTCAGGCGGGCAGACTGAGCTTGGAGCCATGGGAAGACTTACACTTTAGAAGGCCCCACATATGAAACATGGCTCCTTCTGCCATACGGAAATGTTCCTGGTCACTCAGCATAGCCAGATTAGGGGTTTCTTCTTATTTTGGCAGACATGTGTTCTTCTTTTGCACATCAATTAGTGCAATGAACAGATTTGCCCAGGTGTGCAAGGGTGTTTCAGCACTCATGCAAATCAGGGCAAATGTCCCCTGAGAGTGAAAGCACTCTGCAAGTTCACTGAGTTCACATAGCTCAGTGAAAGTTGGTCTTTTGCAGAATCTCCTGATGCAGAGAAAGCTGCACTTATTTGACTCAGAGAATGGGAGAGTTCGAAGGGACGCGAGGGCCACCAGCTGTAGCCCCTGCTTACAGCAGTACTCCAAATCCCAGCATCCCTGGCAGAGGACTGTCCACCTGCCTCTTCAGTCACTCCAGGGCCAGAGAATCCACGATGTCCCTTGGTCACTAGCTCCATTATTGAACTGCTCTAACAGGCAGTAAGGGTTTTCAGTTGTCCCTCCAGGCTCTGGCATCCCAGTATTGGGGGCTGTGATTCTGCACCCTGCACTCTGGGATGGCTGAGCAGAGATGTTGTCCTACTCTGCCTTGGAAATCTGCTTCAGGGTCTCAGCTGCAAGATCCTGCTCCCAATAATGTTTGGAGAATTTTGAGAACAGTTGTTCACCTCTTCAAAGTCAGTTGAAGACGTTGCCAAAAAGAACCAGAGCATTAACACACAGCCCTTCTGTCGCTGCAGCACCCTGTCTTTCTCAGAGTCCCAGTCTAGGGTAGAGGAAATGAGTATAGTGTTCAGGAATGTGATCTGAGACAAAAAGGGAATACCTGCCAGGGCTGCAGCCTCCAAGTTCCCAGCCTGTCTCCACCCTCCTGTCTCGTCCTCCTGGATGTGGATGAAAAAGCAGCATCCAGGACCTGGGCCATGGACAGGATGCTGTTGTGAATGACGTGGCTGTCCAGAGACAGGATCCTCTCTGCCTCCCCTTGTGAAAGCGCCCCCCAATACTCCCTCTCCATGCATTTTGTCTGGCCCTTCACGGTTAAGGCCTTCTGTGAAGAAGAGCACAGAAATGCTTCCCTGACGGTCTGCTCTATAAACATGGTAAAGCGCCAAAAGAAGCGATCAATGGCTTTCCTCTCGTTTTTCTGGAGAAGAAAGGAAAAAATGCCATGGATGTTTTCTGAAGGTACGTGAGTCACCAGTTCCAAGGTGAAGTCCCACGCAGCAGTGGTGATCCACACTTTCCCTGTTTGGGGTTCTCTAAGGTAATCACTATATGTTTGTATCTGATAGATGCCCTCTAGGAAGGTACTCGTCTCTGCACAATACACAAAAGCGTTGGCTTTTCCTGATGACTGAAACAAGGTGCCACGGTGCAACTGAACGTTTCTTTTCTCGCTTGAGATGTATTGTGTGAAAACAACACAAACTCCGCTCCTGGTGAGCTCCGCTGTCAAAGCCGTCATGCACCTCCCTCCGCTGTCAGTGTCTGCAGCAGCCAGGCCCACCAGAGTCCATCGGAAATGCAGGAGCAGCCGGGTGATCCCCTGGTACTGGGTCGGCTCCTTGGGGACGATTGGGTAGGAGAAGGGGAACTGGGTCTTATCACCCAGGGTATGAGAAGAAAACGCATGGCTGACCTGGAGAGGAAAGAAGACAGCAGAGCTCTGTCTTGCCTCCGATCAGAGTTGCTATTTTGCTCAACCTTATTTTAGGCCATCCAAATTAGGGGCCGTTTATGCACCTTGTGGTGGAGAGTTCCATACTTTCAGCAGTAGTTGTGGGATGACTGGGAAATTCTACAAGTGCAGACATCCCTTTTCTCCTTGGAAAGCTGTGAAGAAGCCTAAGGCTGCAAACTTAAGCACATTTGCACGATTGCAAACAATGAGGAGCTGCATACACCTTTGCACCAGCCGAGGGCTTTTTGGAGAAGCGAAGGCATCTTCTGCCACTCCCAAATGCCTGGAGCCCCCTAAAAGTGCAGAGACTCGTGGCCACTTCTTCAACTCCTGGAAACCCTACAACCTAGCCCCCACATGCCCAGCCCTCTTTATCCTCACCTGTGGGACTTTGTAGATGCCCAGCATTGCTGCAATCTGGGTTGAGATCTCCGAGTTGGCTCCCTCGAGAAAAGCCAGGGGGAGAGTCTGCCTTCCACAGCTGTAGTTTGGGACATTTGTCTGTCCAGGAGAGAGCACGTCCAGCAGGGCGTCCCAAGTCAACCTTGGATCAAGATAGTTGTTGTGAATGCTGTAGCCCAGGGAGAGGTTGTGGAGGAGCCCAGGGCTCTGGTTGACCTCTCGGACAGCAAAGAGGTAGGACAAGACATTCCAATAGTTCATGTATCCTCCACTGCAAACATATACCATGCAAGAATAGATTCAGTTGTGAGTCTGTTCAGCTTAGAGTAAAAGTGATGAGGGAAAAGTCATAAAATTAGAACTGAAATGGTGTTTCAAGGCAACCCATGTGTGGGGGATTCAGGAGAGTGGATGCCAAACTACACACACAGAACCCATGAGCAGGACCCAGATGCCATTGCACCTCTTCCTACATTTCCTACTGTGGGAGACAGGCACACTGCTGCTGCTACTACAGGCTTGTTATGAGAAAGGAGCCATGCCAGCCAGAAGCTTCCTGCCTGGTCAGACATGATTCAACTTCCCAGAGGGACTCTCACCAGCTGCAGCGCAGGGCATGGAAATCTTGGTGAAAATTTGAGCCAGCGATGGGCTCCAGACACCCACCCAGATTCCTACCAATAACCCTGAGTGTTCATGGCAACATGGACAGTTCTGTCACCACTTCAGAGCTTACTAGGAAGGAAGTATAATGGGAGGATGTGTGTTGAAAAGTTCAAATTTCCAAAAGTCCAGAAGTCCTGCAGAGATGATCCCACCAATAAGGGGGTCTCCCAGTCTGTGATAGCTGGATGGGGGCTCTGGAACTCTGGCCAAGGTCAGGGAGCATGTGGTCACCAGACTCTCACAGGTTTCCTGGGGCTGCAGCAGCAGGAGGAGAAGCAGCAGCAGCAGAAACCTGCAGGTCATCCCAGCTCCCTGGCTCAGTGCCCGTTCTCCTCTCTGTGGAAGTTTCTCAGCCCCCTGTAAGGCTGCTGCCCCCTGGCTGCCCAAGTGGAGAAGGAGCCCAGTCAGGCTGAGCATCTCTTCTGAAATGGACAGGAGGAGTTTGTATGGTAACCGAGCCTCCGCTTCTCAGCCTGTATCCCAAACCGCACCGGGGCTTTTAAGTTGTCACCCATCAGGCACAGGTGCAGGATGACATCTACCCCTGCTCTTCCAGAAGACCTTGTTTGTGTCTAAGTTCCCCTGGGGAATCCACAACAGCCCTGGCCACCGGAGGGTGAGCAAACAATAAGGGTTGAGATAATTGCCAGGGGAAAGCAGCTTGCCTCAAACATTCCCCTGCTCCCTCAGCAACTAGGTCCAGAGCCAGGGAAACACACTGGTGCAAATTCCCTCATGGGGCTCCAATTTGTGGGGAGAACGATGAAGTTTCTGTGGATAGGCACTTTCACAAGAGGCAGCTGAGGACCTCCTTCAGGAGATGAATCTTCGGGGTAGAGGGGTCAGGGCAGCTGAGGATTCAGGCGACTGGTCCCATGGGGATGGTCCTTGAATGCACAATGTATTGCAGATGTGAAATGCTTTGACCTGCAGCTCCCCTCACGCCCAGCCGCTTTGGCTGCTGGTCCATCCTGCTAACATGCAACACACCAGACTGACTCAGAATTGAGGTGTCCCGAGATGGAATGGGCCTTGTCAGGAATGTAATGCACCATTTCAAACCCACTAGTGCACACAGCCCTCCTGATTCTGTGAGGAGGTGCTCTAGGGCCATCGGTGTTTATTGCAGTTCTTCTCAGAGCTGGAGCTCCATGTTCAGGACCCTTAATGCTGGCAAGGTGCCAGTGCAAAGGATTCAACGGCAGTGCTGAGCATATTGACAAGTGAGTCAACTTTTCCTATGCCAAATCGGGGACACGTGATTCCCCAGACTTGGTCATTAGTTGAGAGGAATGGAATAGAGCCAGAACTCTAGGGGTACCTGGCCTGGTAGCAGGTGAAGTTCAGGCGATCTGTAAATCATATGGGGGGAAGGAGCCAGCCAATGTAAAAGGATCTGGCCCAGCTTTGGGGAAGCCACTTGTAGGCTCTAGAGCTGTGGCTGAAACAGCTGTTTGTGGGGGCAGTGGGGTCCCAGCCTTCCCAGGAGGGATTGTGCAATGGTGGGGTGAGAAGTAGAGGAAATTGCTCGCTATGGTGACGTTGGAGGTACAGCAGAGGTCGTGCTGGCATTGGCTGGTGCCAACAGTGTGTCCTGACCCATGGAATTCAAACTCAGAAATCTGGGGGGAGTGTGGTGTAGGAAGAGGGGCTGAGCAGCAGATGGAGGGCTTGAAAGAGAAGTATAGACAGAAGGATGAAGAATGGTGTTGTTGAGGTCAATCTGAGAGCAGTTCATCTGGATTTCCTCATTCACTTTCCAGGCCCTCTCCGATATTAATCTGCACAGGTTTCTTCCCATGCCCAGCGCACTCTCTGTAGGGGGAGGCCTCTGTCTACACGATGGGAATCTGGCTGCAGAACTAGCAGTCGGTGGCATTGACTGCCTCAGAGAGGGTCAGGAAGAAGTGATGGAAAGAATTGGGGTGACCACCTGAGGCTGCTGGAGGCCTTTGTTGCCCAAAAGCCTTCCCCAAAAATAAAATAGAAATAATCAGAAAAGGAAAACTGGCCGTTCTGCCAATCCTGTGATTCCAAGGGCATGAAGTCCAGAGCAGAAGGCCAAAGAGTCCTTCTCCATGTTTCTTCATCTCACCTGGTGTTGGTGGGGTGAACAGTGCTTCTTGCAGGAGCATGTTTCTTGCTTTTCTCCAGCCTCAGATCCCTAGCGAGTGTGAATCCACCTTCCCTTGGATGGCTGTGTGGGTGGTGGCCAAAACATGGAACGGACCTCCATAGCAGGGAGTCAGGTTGGTCTCCCTCTGATGAACTTTCACAAAGATCTCATCCTCAGCCTGTAACTGGTGGCACAGTTCTCCTGGTGGGTCTCCCCACTGCTTTTGACTGGGTTGGTTTAAAGTGGGAAGCACAAGCACTGATCCTTCGGGTAGGTGAGCTACACTGAGTGGAGCTCTTGAATGGATGGAAGTTCCCTGAGACTGAATCACGTATTCTTCCTTCAACCAAACTCCAACTCAAAGGGAGTTAAATAGTCCTTGCCAGGGGCTGAGCAATAACTTTCATGACCACGACAGGCAAAGCATCGGCCAGGGACAACTTGTGGCCTGCACCAGTTTAGCCAGGGAGTTTTTGATGGTCCCATTCATTCTTTCTACCTGACCTGAAGACTGAGGATGATAGGGAGTGCTATAGGAGGAAGGGATATTGAGAAAGTTATGTATTTATTTACTTATTTATAACTTTCCTATACTGTCCCATCACAGACATCTCAGGATGGTTTAAAACAGATTAATAAAATGGAATAAAATTAAAAATAAGAGCAACAGTTGCACAGCATCTGATGTTGAAATATAAAACCATTAAACAAAACAGATTAAAAACTATAATATTGGGAGAATAAGATGGTTTTTGCCAGACGCAAAGAGGAAAGAAGAGTTGGCGCCAGGTGAACCTCTCTGGGGGTGCCTTCCACAGTCAGGACGCCACTTCAGAGAAGGCCCTCTTCTGGGTAACCAGGGATAGCCCCAGATCTCGGAGCACTCCCAAACTGTTCACCCTGTCCTTTAGGGGGAGCACACCCCATCCAGAACAGGGCAGATTTCACTCACCTTTAGGGTTGAACCGCCTACCATAAGGACGTCTGTCTTATTTTGATTGTGGCTCAATTTATTAGCCCTCATCCAACCCATTGCCCCAACCATGCACCAGTTAAGGGTAGCCACTGCCTCATTTGTACTAGATGTAAAAGAGAGGCAGAGCTGGATGTCATCAGCGTACTGAAGACTCCACAGCCCAAACCTCCAGATGACCTTTCCCAGCAGTTTCATGAAGAAGTTAAAAAGCATGGGGGATAAAATGGAACCCTGCAGAGATCCATGACAAAGTTGCCATGGAGTAGAGAAAGAATCCCCCAGCACCACCTTCTGGAATCAGCCAGACAGGTAGGAGGGGAACCACTGCAAAGCAGTGCCTTCAACTCCTAACCTAACCAGCCTATCCAGTAGATGTCATGGTCGACGGTGTTGAAAGACTCTGAGATGTCCAGGAGAATCAACAGGAACACACTCCCCCTTTCCCACTCCCTGCACAGGTGATCATACAGGGCGACCAAAGCAGTTTCCATTCTGTAGTCAGGCCTGAACCCAGATTAAAATGGATTGAAATTATCTGTTTCCTCCAAGAGCACCTGGAGTTTTCCAGCTACCACCCTCTCAAGCACCTCTCACAGGAACAGGATATTTGCCACCAATCTATAATTGGCAGGTATCTCTGGGTCCAGGGATGCTCTGTTTAGGACAGGCATGACCACTACTTCTTTCAAAGGGGCAGAAACCTGACCCTTCTTCAGAGAAGCATTGATAATCCCTCAGACCCAGATACACATCCTGTCCTTGGCTCTGATGAGCACCAATGAGGGGCAAGGGTTCAGCAAGCAAGTGGTAGGCTGGATTAGTCCAAGCACCTTGTCCAGATCCTCAGGCCACACCAATTGAAACTCATCCAACAAAAATGGACCAGACGGTGCTCTGAATGCTTCCCACTCTAGAGTCTCAACAACTGTGGAATCCATCTCATGGGGAATTCAAGCGATTTTATCCTTAAAGTGCTGGAGAAAGTTTTCACAGCAAGCTGCACATGACATGACCAAGTCCTTTATGGTTTCGATTGCAAAAGGCCCTATATCACTCAAAAAAGCTCAGCTGGACGGCACTGTGAGGATGTACTGGAAGCAGAGAAGAATTCCTTCTTCACCACCCTCATCGCCACAGCATAGGCTCGATAATGAGCTCTAAGATGTGCTCAGTTGTATTTGTCAAAAGTCATATGGCAGTTCATGTAAAGAAGGTCTACTAGATTTCCCTTCCTTGTGTGTTTTTGCTTGTGGACACTGTCGAAGAAGTCTAACACATTAGAGAGCTTTCCTTTTGCAGAAGACCTGTGGAATCTTTTTCAGGATTGCTGGGTCTTCCAGGTGCTTCCTGATTGCTTATTTAAGCATGCTTTCAAGCGATTTGCCCGGAACTTAATTTTAACTGATTGGCCTCCTCTTCCCTCTTTTGCGCTCCTTCCCCTTTTGAAAATGTGTGATACATTTGCCATTGAACCGTCCTCCAGGAGTAGCAACCTTAGGGCTT